AATGATACTTTGGTTACTTTGGGTAATGGTACAAACCTCATCAATTTATTAGTTGGCTCCCTTCCGATAATTAAAGACAGACACGACTAAATTGGGTCATCTCTAGCACTGGTGGTTTGGGTTTTTTATGTGCCCTCTTTTTTTTGAGATTTTTTTATGTGTTGTACTGTGTGGGTTGGGAGTCTACTTTTGGGTCCAATCACAACTTATCTGTATCCCTTTATCTAAAATATAATAGCCCTTGGGATTATATATATATATATACTTTTTTTTTTTTGGAGAAAGCCCAAAGACTAATTTATTAAAAGGAAATAAGGATACATATAGATTGTGTGGAAGGGCCCAAGCATGACACCCCTCCCCACGATAACCACCACATACAAATGGTTTAAAAAAAGGAGAAAATACAAAAAATTAGAAGGGACCTAAAGAAAAAAATAAAAAATGCCAAAAAACGTAGTATCAAGTAGCTAGAGAGCGAGCAAATTTTGCTTTGCCTCTACCTCTAGTTCTAGAAAATGAGTCAGCTAATAAATTGGTAAGATGAGTGTCATTGTCAGTAGTCACCAAAGTATCATCCAATAAGTTTCCAAGCTCGAGTCGGCCTCCAGACTTCTTCCTCCGGGAATAGACCTGTCATTCCTCATCCGAAAATTGGTTTACCTGATTAGTGGATTGGTCTAAAGTGTGTCAGACATGTGTAAGATATTGAACATTAGAACTGCTTGTTGTACCAACTGATCTTTGAATCAAAGAAGCACTCTCGTGTGTCTTAGCATGAAATTGAGTCTTCTTCAATAACAGTGAGTGGTATAAACACTTTTGGATCTGTACTTGTAGTATGATGTTCTGATGTTCTTCATCAGGAACTGCGATGTTGGGTAAAGGATCAGTTTGTACCTTCTGAGCAGGGATAGTAGGTGCATGATCTTTAGCGATATTTGTTAAGAAAGGAAGTAGGAAAGAAAGTAGTAAAGGTGGGAAAACAATAATCTTTTTCTTTGACCTAGAAATTCAAACCATGACGGAGAAATTAAAGTTTGTTCTTATTGGAAAATTTCTGTGGGGGCACCTATCTATGGAAGTTATCAGTAGGCAAGTGGAAAGTCGGACTCATGGATGGGAGACATGTGTTGATTCAATTAACTGTGACTGAAAACTACAACCGAATTTTCTCCAAGAAATATCTTAATATCGCAGACAAACCAATGAAATTACTCAAGATATCTTACTGTATCGGTATGATTTAATCTACCTGATCTCAAACTGCACTTTTTTCATCATCAGGTTCTATACTTTATTGGGGTCATCCTTAGGGACCCCATGAAGCTAGATCTACCAACTTTCAATCTAACCAGACATTCTGTGGTCATAATACTTATAGAAAGGGATATTATTTTACCTGATGTTACTGAAGTCTGACTGATCACAACTCATAATGAATATTGACAATATATCATCATGAAACATAGACCTCCATATTGTACCCACTGTATGATGTTTGGGCATATCCTTGATAAATGTCATAAACTCCATCCAAATTTGAAATCTAAGGTTCAAGTGAATAAGGAAGAGTTAACTCCACTGCTCTGGACATTTTAGTTCCATCTGGGGAGAATACTATCAAACAGAAGATGTTTGTTGCCCCCGGGGACTCATGACAATGTTGCTAATGTTATTGCAATTGATGTGATGTTGGCATCTTCAAACTCCATAGAAAACAATACTGAAGGACTTCACCTACAAAGAATAGTGTTCAAATTAATAATCATGAGAACCTCGCAGCTTCAGAAAGTATCTGATGTAGAAGCAATTCATACTTCACATATACTAGAACCTATTGTGGGTACTATGGCTGGGAATCCTTTTTCTATTTCTCTTCCACACTAATTCTTCGGATGAGGAATGACAGGTTTACACTTCCAGGAGGAAGAAGAAGAATAGAGATCTACTTGAGCTCAGGAGTCTTATGGATGATAATTTGGTTACTTCGGGTAATGGTACGCACCTTATTAATTTGATAGCTGGATCCCTTCTGAGAACTAGAGCCAGAGGCAGGACCAGATTGGGATGACGCTCACTTTTTCAGCGCCCTGGTGGTTTTGGGCTTTTTTGTTTTTATATGTACTCTTTTTGACTTTTTTGTGTGTATTTACTGTGTGGATTGGGTGCCAATTTTTAGGCCCACCCATATAACCTATATGTATATTTTCTCTTTAATATATTAGCCCTTGGGCTTTTTTAATATATATATATATACAATCAACCCATTATATTAGCCCTTGGGCATAAATTGTTAACTCCCTCTATCTCCTTTTTTCTTTGGTGGTATCTTACATTTTTAATTCCTATTGATCATATTCTCAAGCTTAAAGGTTTAAAATTGGCCTCCATATGTAGTATGTGCCAAATGAAGGAGGAAGACACGAGACACATTTTTTTCGAATGTGCCTTTTCCTTAAAAGTTTGAGATATGATTGCTTCTTAATTTGGTTTTTCATGGATGCATAGAGACTCCTTAAGCAATTATCTATGGCGTTGGAAAGATTTTGATGATAGTAAAGGGGGGGTTTCCCCTACCTTATTGGTTCTCTGGTTTCTTTGAAATGCAAGAAATAGTTTTAAATACAATACTCCCCCCCCCCCCAACTTCTATGACGGTTGCATATGTCATTGCCTACTATAACAAAGACTTAAGAGTTGTTTCCACTGATGTTACCGTTTTAAAGCCTCCTCGGCTTGTTAGGTGGACTCCTCCCCCACCAAACTATGTTAAATTAAATGTGGATGGCTGTTGGCATCCGGATTATGCTGCAGTGATTATGCTGCAGTTGGGGGAATCTTTAGGAATTTTGAAGGTAGATATCTCTGCTTTTTCTCCTCCCTTGTTGCGGCTAATAAACCTTTGGCAACAGAATGCTGGGGGGTATTTCTGGCTTTAACGATAGCCAGTGTTTTCAATTTTCATAAATTAGAGGTGGAAATGGATTCTAAATTGCTTTTTGACATTCTATTGGGTATTTCTCCACACACGTGGGATACTTTACGCACCTTTAAACGCATCATGAATGTAATGGTTGAGAAGCATCTAGAGGTAAATTGGAGTTTCATTCATAGAGAGGGCAACTCACCAGCTGACTGGCTTGCCAAAGGTGCTGAGGAGGTTTGTCACGTTGGGATTCACCCTCCTGCTCATCTTAAAAGACTCATCATTGGAGACAATCTAAACCTGCCTTATGTCCGTTTTTAATTCTTCTTGTCTATTGGCATTCTTGATGATTGGTTTTTGGTTTTCTTGTTTCAGTTTTGCACTCACCTTTTGCAGATTTCATCACACGGTTTTCTGTTGGATGGCTTCTTGGGATTACGCTGATGGAGGACTATTCTTTTATGAAGACGCCTTTTGTACATGTTTTCTTTTTGGCTTACCAAGTCTTACACGTTCACAGGTTTACTTATTTTTGGTTATATGGTTTTTTGGGTATACCTGTAATTTTTGGGACAATTTTTTGTGTGAGTTGTAATGTGGGGGGAGGAACCCCTAGGGGTTATACGAGGATCTTCCCCCCTCTCCTTCTCTGTACTCTTTTTTGATATTAACGCGTAGGGAGCCACCGCTGCTCTTTCCCAAAAAAAAAAAAAAAAAAAGAACAATCAACCCATTAAATTTATAACTATTTTCGGAAAAAAAACCTCTGATAGAATAAAGGAGTCATAAAGTGGATTTTATTTATAGCCAAAAAAAATCACCTTCACTTAGTCATATGCATAAATATAGAACATGCATGGTGTGGCTACAAATATCTTTGCTCAAATGGGTTATTCTACGATTTAGAGGTTTCGTTCGTAGAGTAGTGATGTTTATTTGAATGGACGTTGTAAGGAGAAAAATATAATAATGCATCTAAAAGTTGTATAAACAAAGGAGAAAAAATATAATAATGCATCTAAAAGTTGTATAAACATTGAAAGTTTGGTATCTTGTAATCAGCTTTAATGAAAAGGATAAGGTTTACTAGCTGTTGTATGGTTTGGATGATAACTTGAAATGAGTGTACGTAGTTATCAACTATCATATGAAGTGTTTCTAATATACGTATGAAATAAGAATTGCCCACGAATATAATTAGATGAGTAAATCGACATGCATGGGCCATTCTGAGCTCCCAAGATGAATCAAGACAGATACAATGCTAATCTACTAGTTGACACGTTGACAGAGCTAATAGTATTAACATTAAAACTTCTAAAATAATATTGAGAAAAATTTTGATAAAGAAAAAAATTTTATCTAATAAAAGCTTGGGAAATTTTTGGAATGAGGGAAGAGAGAAATAATGAGTGACATCATGTATCTAGAAACTGTAACTTGGATCAAAATTAAATTGTTATTCAATAATGAAATTTAACATGACAGGGCAATAATTGGTTCAGTAAATTTGGAACAAGAAGGAAATGGCAGCTGTAATTTCAGCCAAAAGTAAAGATGTTAACATCATTTAAAAAATATCTACCAATACAATGCCTAACTGTAAAGACAAACTTAGCACAAGTATTTGAATCGGCCTTCTGAAAAAATGACATGCTGAAAAAAGATAACAAACACATATCGAAAAAAAACATACCTTTCACCCAGTTTATCATCTAGAACACGTAAAAGGACATAAACTTGACAATCATTGTTTGTATCTTCTTGAACAACCAGAGACAAGACATTAATAGCATCAAATTTTGGGTCAGGCCTAAGATTACCCCTTGATTCTGCCTGGATCTGCAATACCAGGCAACAGCATCGTAGTAATATAACATTCATGATAGCAAATGCAGCAATCAAGAAAATAAAATTAATTTGATAGATTATTCCAAGAACAATTTTAGAAATCTGACTACACAAGTTAAACAAAATATACAAGTCATAACGTGAGTCAAAGTAGATATGTCAACATAATCACATACTTTACATTCCCTTTCTCCCCGCCATCCCTTCTTCTATTGTTCTCCCTACCCCTCCCATTTTATTTTTCTACTCACATAATCACATACTTTACATCCCCCCCACACCCCCACCCCCGCCCAGCGCTTTCTCCTTCCCTTCCCTTGTGTGTGTACGTGTGGATTATGTGAACCATGATAAAATCATCTCCAATTATGTTACCAAGATATAGATAGAATAAACATGCTGAAGTGCATCAACACCAACCTCCATGCTTATCAGTGTTAATTGCTGTCCACCACCGAAACTAGCAGGATCCCGGAAACCAATTTGACTAACAGGTGTAGTATTTGAATTTTCATACTTCTCAGGACCTGAAATTTGAGAGAAATCATGCATATCTTCATTAATAATTTTCTCTTTTGCAAGAATGTTATCCCATATTGGCTCACTGGAAACATGACCAATATTAGAATCAAATTTTTCAGTTTTTGGGGAGGATTTTTCTTTGTTTGATTGGGATGAGTCATTCTGTGACCAACCAATAGCTGAAGGAGAAGGTGAAGTTTGACAAGAAGTTCCTGTTCAAATTTGAAATATTAAAGTCAGATTCATGTTCAAATAGAGTTTTTCCACTAGTGGTATTTTCTAAGTAATAAAGAACGAAGTACCTTCATTCAACACTCCATCACAGTATGAACTTAAGCCTTCATTAGTTGCACCTAACATTTGAAATGAAACTAAATCAGAAAGACAAGCTCATAATGAGGCATAGATTTTAGCAGAGTACCTGTGGCTTCTAGAAAGCAATGCTGCTTTCCTCTTGAAAGCCAATTGTAAACAGTTTTCAATGCTGGTGGTGACAGAGCGTGAGTCAGCAAATATAAAACTGATCCATCATTCTGAAAGTGAGTTGGAATGCCGAGGGAAGAATCCCGACTAAAAATAACATTCTCATCTTGCAAATTCACAACCGGAGGGATCCTAGTGAAAAAAGGAATCATATTCTCCATTCCTTGCCTCTTATCTGAAAAACCATGATGTAAAAAAAAATTCAAAACACCCTTTTATAAAGAAATAAAAGGTAAAGATAGATAAAGTTGTAAGAGTCACATGATAGATAAAGTTGTAGCAGTCCCATGTATAAAAGAAAATATATGCAGTATTATAGAAACAGATGAAAAATAAATATTGAGCCCAAAAAGGGAAACAAAAGCTTTTGATGAAGACCACCTCAAAACAGAAATGAAGACAGTCGATTTTGATCTACACTATCCAAAAAGTCATGGAATAAATTCATAAGATTTTATAGTATTTTGGCTTTGCATCAAGCATACAAAAGAAAAGAAAGCACATAAATGACAATTATAAATATAATTTATGATGAATTTTCATAAATTCAATAACGTTCCTGTGATTCTAAGGAAAAGGTTTTAAATCCACATTGAAAAATTATTTGATTTTGATATCTTCTGGTTCACCAGATTATGAATGTCAGCGTGCATTTACTCAGTCAATATTTGCAGGCCCTAATAAGAGTTTATTAGGGTGGTAAAGGAAACACAAAATTAAAATATAAAACGAAAAAAAGGCAAGCACACTGCTTCACTGTTAGTATGGACTTATCAAATGTCATATCACTTTTCTAAGCATACCAAATATTTGAATTTCTAGATGCATATGCAGAAATACTCATGTTTATCACTTTCAGGTTCTGATAGTGGAAATATACTAATACACCCAGAGTGTTTAAGATGACAATGATAATAGAGTCCTGAATATTTCTCTGAAATGCTTTAAAATGGAATATCTTTCATTTAATAAAAGAGCAGCTGAATCAACGTCTGCTGTAAATATGATGGAAAAATCATATAATTTGAAAAGGAGAGAAAAAAACAAACAGCCCATAAAGCAATTATTTAAAGTCACAGTATCATTACAGCACCTATTTTCCCACTAGCTTGGCCAGCAGGTAGTGATCCCTCTGAACCATGAGTATGGTTATTAGATGGGGGTTTGTTGATAAAAGTCATATCAACAACTTCAAGAAAATTTTTTGCCTTACAGAAATCCCTATTATTCTCATCATGTGGAGTTGACTGCTGGTAACAATTATTGGCTTTGTCAAGAAGGAGCGCATCTTGAGCACTAACACTTTCAGGGTTACTGGCATGCTTGTTTGCAATATTTTCCGAATTCCAGTTTTCATTCTTACGAGATTTCAAAGAAGCATTTCCAGCAGAATCCTCCTCATGGTTCGATCTACATTTCATTGTGCCTGGTGGAGCTGCCTTCCGAGCTGTATGAGTATGACAAATACTTGATTGATGTTCAAAACATTCTGTTCCTTGAACATCTGAAGATGCAATGTTGGAGCAAGCTAATCTTCCTTGTACATTTTGATGAGTAGCAGATTGCCCGATGGAAGGCTCCTCAAAATCAAAGTGAAGGCCTTCTCTCACAGATGTAGTTGGTGATAATTCTTCCTTTTGACCATGCACCATGCCTTCATTCATTCGAATCTCAGGTTCAGCTTGTTCAACCCGGAGAAATCGTTTTTTCCTCATTAGATCTCTTATAGAGCACATAGCTGTTGTCTTTCCACCCTTCTCACATTTTTCCAGAACAATTTTGTCTTTGAATCCCTCATACTGGTTGCCTTCTTTATCATAAAATGGAGGATTGTTGAAGCCATCATTTATCATCTCATTACATGGAGAAGAAGCAACATAGCAAGTCTTAGAAGCTTCATGTTCATTTTTACTGACAGAAAAAGGTAAATTGCCCCAGATATTTTTTTCTTTGCTTTTATTACCAACCCTTTGGCACATTCCTCCAATTTGAGCAACAGCCTTTTCTTCTCCACGAGACGTATTTTCACCGGAAGTATTCCCTTTCTGTGGAGTATTCCAATTGTCATCAAAGGACCCATCAACTTGAGGAATAAAAGAACCACATGAGACAGCATCCAAAAATTCCTGTGAAGAAGATAAAGCCTGTTCCATTAACCCCTCAGACTTCTGAATGTTTTCAACTGAATCAAGAATAAGGTCTTGAAAAGAAGGTGAAACCTGTTCCTTGGGCTTCTCAGACATGAGAATGTCTTCAACTGAATCAAGGATATCCTGGCATTCTAGCTGAGAAGCATGCTCATAATCCCTATGAGCTAACTCAAGAGCCATTGAGAAAGATTTTCCAGGAAATAAAGGACTAAGGATAGCTTCATGAAGCAGTTCATCACCAGTATCCGTTTCTTCTTCAGCTTGAGAAGATGCAAGCCAACTTAAAAGTCCTAAAGCCTCAGTATCCAGGCTCTACAAAGCATAATTAAGAGAAACAATTATGGTTCAAGTGAAATGCAAACTCAAGCTTTGTATAAAAAATATAAGGATTTATTGCACTTAGCTGTGAATCAAAAATACAAATACAGTTCACTTTGTAATACCAGACTTCATGGCTGTAGAATGACAAGCAACAAGACTGATTAAAAACTACCTCTATTTACTGAAAGTGATGAGGCAAGGTTGGCATATTGTTGCATGACAATTGTGAAAAAAAACACCTCATAATGAAAGGGCATCTCCATCATCATCATCATTAGCCTTATCCCACCAATTTGGGCTTAACTTTATGAATTCCCATTTCCCTACCTGTTGAGTATTGCATGTGGTGTTAAACTGTAGATCCTTTTTAAATAACTCCTATCCATGCTATCTTAACATTACCAATTTTTCTCTGATCATCTAATGATTGTATTGCCTTGCCACCCTACATTGCACATTTTCAAACCATCTAAATTTATTTTCAATTAATATATTCGTGATAGGGTTGGTGTAGCTCCTCTGACAGACAAAATTAGAGAAAGTCGTCTTAGATGGTTTGGTCATATTAAACGTCGACCATTAGATGATCCGATTAGGAGAGTAGATGTTTTAAATTCGACTTGTGTTAAGAAAGGCAGAGGTAGACCTAGGAAGACTTGGGCTTATTGTATTAAAAATGATCTTAATTTACTAGAACTAAATGAAAATATGACACTAAATAGGACGCAATGGAGAAAAAGGATTCATGTAGCCGACCCCACGTAGTGGGATTAAGGCTTTGTTGTTGTTGTTGTTGTTGGAGAAAAGTGTCATAATAGTCCTTAAACTTTTAATGAGTGTCTTTTTTAGTCCCAAAGTTATAAAAGTGTCAATTTTGTTCCCAAAATCTCTTAACCACAAAGGACTATTTCAGCCACAATTTAAAGATTATAGGAATGGAATTAGCAGTTTTAAAAACTCCTGGACTAGAATGACCCATGAAAACAGTCGGGGGCTTACTTTGGCACTTTATTCTTTTCAATTGTTTTACCTTTAATGGATGCTACTCCAACTTTGCATCTAATACAACGATTTTTAAATTTATCCTTCATAATGTTGTCAAACATCCATCTTACAATTCTCATTTCAACAATACTTAAACTTAAAAATTATCAACCTTCTACTGTCAAACAACAATCCATATGAAATTGTCAAGCTAAGTACAGTATTATATGATTTATATTAAAATCTACATGATATAATCTTATCATTTAATATGCTTGAAGGACTTCTCCACTCTGCCACATAGACTCTGTAAGAATAGACACATTTACATGCAAGATTTGAATGTGCCATTTTTTTTTTGTGTATTTGCACCAGCGTGTGAGTGTATGTACATTTCAAATTGTTCATCTGTTTCACATCCGCTCATACCTATCCATATACAATAAAATAAGGGGCAAAGATTATCTGCTATTTTCAAAACCCATACAGTGAGATCATCATTTCAAAGTAGGGCTACAAACATTTCATTCTTTTAAGGGGATGCAAAAGTGTTCTTTTTAAATGCAAAAACCAAGAATAGAAGCCCTGTAATGAGTGAGGTTTATTTATACATTTCTTAATGTTATGTGGTTATTTAATAGTATTTTCTTAATGTTGGGGTTGAGGATATATTTAAAGCCCTACCCTTATAGTTTATTCATTTCATGATATAAGAAATCAGAAGTTTTAGTTTTTCTTACCATAGTTCTCACGTTGTTAAAGCTAGTGAGGAGGAAAGTAGGTTGCATGTAGTACTAAACTTTTTCAAAATCTATCCCTCGGATCTCAATTGGTTTTAGGTGCCAGAGCAAAGAGTAGAGCAGTTATCAAGGATTCTGAGGTAACTAGAATTATGACAGGAGTGCACAAAATGCTCTTGACATGGGAGTGCACAACAAATTTAAGGGTAGCCAAGTTCTTAATGTTCCTTCAAGCCTATTTAATTTTTGTGCTATTATCTCCATTGGTATCAGAGCTCAAAAGTACGCAACTAACGAGAAAACTCCAGTGACTTGCTCAAGGATCATTGTGGAAAAGTTGCAATGTGAATTCAATGGTTTCAACAACACCTCACGATGTGAAGGAAAAACTAGAAGACCAAGTGGATCATCCTTTCCATTAATTGCTAAAATAATCATCTAAGGAAGAGCAACACAAATAGGTTCCTCGGAGGAAACCAAAATAATATTATTTGGATTTTAGGATAAAGGTAGATATCCATGAATTTGAAAGTTTTTT